TTAGGGCTTAGGGTTTAGGGTGTCTCCTGGCGCTTCTTGCCCTTTCCTAAAAACCCCGGGGAAATTAAAGCTTAAACCTTCAGGACAAGATCACACTAAAAAAGCTGCCTGCTGTAAACCCATACCTAAAGGAGCCCACAGGGTCTTGACGCCTATAAAACCCAATACAATGCCAGAGGAAAATGGAGGAATCTGGATATTGGAGCAACCCCTAAACACTAAACCCTAAACCCTAAACCCTAAACCTAAACACTAAACTAAGCTCTTGAACAGCTCCGGGCTCCTGGAATCCGTCGTTTCTTCTAGCTTTGTATTGGAGTCAGGGTTTACGGTTTAAGGTTTAGGGTTTAGGGTTTAGGGTTTTATGGTTTAAGGATACGGCTGATGATATAAATCCTGCATTACCCATAATCAGGAATATGCCATGATTCCCATAGTTCAGGGTCCTTCAGGTCATGCAGGATTTATGTCATAAACAGTAGTTTGGAAGGGTTTGGTATGGCTTGGTGGGATTCGACAGGGCTTTGTAAATAGTGTGATAGAGTTTAGGGTTTGGGATGACGCGGCTGACTCGAGGGAGTAGCTTATGTGAGTTCTGCGGATGTCAGGAATATGCAGAAATCAGGGAGGAATACTACGCGAATTTAATCGACAAGAAGTGGAAGTCGCTGAAGGAGGCCCTCGAAAACAGACTTGACCCTCAGACTTGGGCCAGGGCATCTGGCCTGCGGTTTCAGATTCCTAGTCGTTCCATGAAGATCCGGATCTTGTCCATAGTTCGAAGGCATGGGCTTAACCGAAGCCCTAAACCCTAAACCGGCAGTCCAACAGTATCCTTTTTCAGCTGTTGCACTCTGAAGAGCTGCCCTAAATCCCAAGAAAACCGAAACTTTCTACGGCTTGCACCCTAATCCCCTCAACCCTCAGCTCTAAACCTTACCCCTAAACCCTGATACCCTAAACCCTAAACCCTAAACCCTAAACCCTAAACCGTTGATAACCCCGATAACCCCTAAACTTCGGCCCTTAACCCGGGACCCCGCCACCGCACATGCCCGGGTGCACCCTGAATTCTGCGGGCATGCCCTCGTAACAGCTGACCACCAGCGTGGTATCCTGACGGAACGGACCAATGCGAGGCAGAGAGTCGAGCAAATCTAACTAACATGTATAGGGGCCTCTACGTTTCGATTTTAGGTTTTGGGTTTTGGGTTTTGGGTTTTGGGTTTTGGGTTCAGGGTTTCGGGTTTAGGGTTCGTTTCGATTTTTGGCTTTG